AAAAATCAAGGAAAAAGAAAAATCGATGTATCCTTCCAGGTGGTCGGCGTCCCGGACGAGCGGCTCGGCGAGGAGGTGTGCGCGTGCGTGCGCGTGAGGGAAGGCAGCTCCTCGGACCGGGTGTCCGCCGGCCGCCTGCGCGACTTCTGCAAGGGGAAGATGTCGGACTACAAGTTGCCGCGCTACTGCCTCGTCCTGGAGGACTTCCCGCGCACCCTGTCGGGGAAGATCCAGAAGTACCTGCTGCGGGAGCAGTGCGACGCGGCGCTGGACCGCGGGGAGCTGGACGACAACAGGAGACGGAGGACGGCCGAGCCCAGGAGGCCGTCAGCTGCCAACTGAAAAATTCCAAAATTTCCCGGAATTACCAAAATTGGTGGTTCCCTGGAGCGACAGCCAGCATTTTGCCTCTATGGCTCAGTCGGTAGGGCACCCGCCCAGAGCGTGGGAGGTCGGCGGTTCGACTCCAGGCTCGGCAAGATTTTTCGCTTCTTCATGTGGCGTTGGTGTACGGCCTCAGTGCCGACCTGAAGTTTAAGTAGAATCGGAACACGGCGTACCTCCGTTGGCTTGGTAGCTTTGGTGGCAGGGTCGCTGTAACTGACGATTGGTTTCGGCACTCGGGGTTGTGGGTTCGATACCCGCGTACCCCTCGGAACGGAAAACGATAACAGTCCTCTAGGAGGCAAGGCCTCGGAATCTTGCTCACCTTATTGCGACACCTGTAAGTCCAACAACCGTTAGTGGAAGTATGTTCTGATGAGCACATGTTGTTGGAAGCGGCTGATCCTTTTACGAACTCAGTAGTCGCCGCCGACTGCGGGGTGAGGGTGTGGTCCGGACAACGTCGGCCTAGGGATCGAATCCCTTTTGTGTGTTTAATGTTTTTTCAAAAAAGAAAATTGACACTCCCGACACAATGTCGTGTGAATCTGGCCAGGTCTGCATCGAGGTGAGGAGGTCGACTTCACCAACTACTCAGGAGGTCCCGAAAAAAAGCTCGCCCCCAACAGGATTCGATCCCCGGGCCGACGGTTTGCGGACTTCGCTCCGGAACGCTAGCCACTTGTCTGTAGACTGCACCTGTCGTAAAGGTCCGAACTCGGTCCTGCGTTACGAGTCTTGGTCTCCCGTATTGCACGCGTTCAGGTCGGAAGTCCACCTGCTCGACGCGCTGCAGCCCGGGTCAACTCCTGGCCAGAAACACGAAAAATGGCCAGTAAATGAGCCCGGAGGTTAGGTTAGGCCAGCGGAGCGCGCTTTTATAGGCCTTGTCCCGGGTTTCTGGCCCGGATTTCATATTACCCGAAGAAGGATGTTCTATACACTCTGGTCGGATTAAGCTGATTCTGGACGCCGGCATTATAGCCACAGATTTCTGGTCACAAATAGGGACGTCAACCACATTTTTGTGGCCACAAACACGGACGATAACTGCAGGAGCCACCTAGTCCATTATCGTGCGCTGTACTTGCATTCTCACGCATCGCTTGGTGTTCTGGTACAATAAATACAATTTTAGAAGTAAATTGTGTTTTTTTTTTTTTTTAGAGGTACTTGACCCGTACTTTCTGGAGGTAATTAACAGTACAGGTAATCGACGCTTGAAAGGTACCTTGTTTAGTTCACAGTTGAAAACTGAAAAGGGCGTAAGTTCTCGGACTTCCCATTGAACTTACGCTCTTTTCACTTGTTACCAGTGAGTTAACGGTGCCAACAACTCGATACGTCTCATAGCGCCTAGATGATAGGCAAAATCTTGCCTTGCCTCTCCGAAGCTCTCGCCTTGTCCAAGCGCTCGGAGGGACAGGGGGCCGCGGGGGCCCGATTCAGGAAAGCATTGTCTACCCTCCAGGCGTTTTCAGCGACAATCATCGACCCGCGCCTAGATTGACACGGCGTCACTTCCTAGCTTTAGAAAGGATTTATGAGCCTGGGGTCAAGAGGAGCCTAAACCCAAAGTCCCCGTCAC